TATTGGTTGACAAGAACAATCTTTTCCATAAACTTTCGCACAAATTAAACACACTAAACATATTGGGCAAGCATTCAAACGAAATTTTAATAATGTTGACATTACTGCATTATAATAATAAAATTATTTGTAGAACAGGTATTATATTTATTATAGTAATTTTTAAAATTGGAACAACGATGTAATTTAGACGTAGATATTATACGTATCAATATTACAGTAAATAAAAATTGAAATATATTTAATTTATGACGTCGACATTATATCAATATTACAGTAAATTAAAATTGAACGAATTCAAAAATATAATTTTTATTGAATTTATTATTCTGAAAAATTACCGGCCAAAAAATTTTTCGGCTAATTTTTTTATAGGTGTCCCAGGAATAATGAAAACAGCTGTAATGAATTTTCACCCACCCGGTATATTACATATAATTTTTTTGAGAAAAGGAAATCTATCATCAAATGTATTATTCAGTATTAGAACTTTAATTTAATAAATTATTTTTTATTGAAAAAAAATTCACTTAATTCACTTAATTAATAATAAAGCTTCATTAAAAAGATCATTTTCTTCGAAAAAATTTCTTCTTTGAAAAAGCTATTAACCGATAGTGAAGATTCTTCACCAGAACTAATACCATTCAAGGTATTATCATTTTATTGATGGATAGTCTATATTTTTAAAATCGATTTTTTTTTAAAAAACAATTATTGTAGCAGATTAAAATGAAATCAGATTAAAATGAAATGAGCGATAGTGTAAAATAAACAAGCCAACGAAAAATACAAATTTTTGGGGTACATTTTTTTATTATTTTTTTAGGGTTAGGATTAGGGTTTAGAAGCAGGTTTTATAATAAACAAGTATAAATAGGTTTTAGAGGGTCAAATAGAAACCCCTCATTTTATTTTAATCCGATTTTATTATGATCTGCGACAATTATTGCTTTCGTTATTTAAATACAGGTTACCCATTAATATCAACCTCGTTAATATTAACCTAAGCCACAAACCAAATTTTTATAAATTTTTATATATCAAAATTCTCTCATATATATCAACTTTAATATGATTTCTCGTTAATATCACTATCAACATAATTTAAACCCCAAAGTATAGTTTTCTTTAACGTCATATTTGTATAAATTTTATATATGTTTATATACTATGCACAATATACAGATATATTAATTTATATGCAGTTGTGACCTCACCAATCATCCACATGTGTTTGCTAATTTAACGTATTATACACCACTACTATTCGTATTACTTGAATGTAAATCATTATGTCGTAAAAACTCGCTACATCAAGATTTTGTTTATGAACACATACTTGAATTTAAACAACTATGTAATTCGTTTCTTTACGTTACTAGTAATTCTTTGGAGTTATATTTCATGAGTATTAGATTTTGCAATTCCACATAGAATTATAACTTACTTGGCATAACCTTTATATTGTTACAATTAAGTAATGACTAAACATTTTTTAAAGAGAACTGTTTTGTAATCGAAATTTACTTTTTCTGTTGTAATAGAGAATTGTAACAAATAAATTCAATCTTTGAAAATTCAGAATAAACATAAATTCTGTTCCCACACATTTTATGTAATTAGCTCAGAGTACAGGATGCACATGTGAAAGAATCTTTTTTTGATACTTTAAAAATTTGTTTATGGTTAATTAAATTTTTTTTTAAAAAAATTGCACAAAATATATTTGTACAAGTAACTTTTGTTTTGAATTTTTATCAATTATATTTGTCATTATTCATGGTGAAAATAGGTTTTCTTTAAATTTGTAATTCCTATTTCACATAAATAAAAAAGTTATTATAAAAATAAATCCTTAAATCTTTAATTTGTATATACAAATACACACAAAAAAATTAAAGATGTCTATTCAAAATATTATCTAATTCATTAAATCTGCTAATACTATAGATTTAGTTATTTTATTCTTTGCTAAAGTATCTCAACTTAGGGATGGATCGGTTCTTGTAAAGACCGAGACCAGATGGTAAAAAACTGAAGAATGAAATAATTTTCGGTCTTTGGTCCATAATTATCTGGTCCTGGTCCTGATTATAGTCTTATGATAAATTATGTATATCTATTGTTATTGATAAAAAATTTGATAAATTAATATAAAAAAATAAAGAAATACATAAAAAATAATAAAATTTTTATACCTTTCAATTATGAACGATAAAAATTTTCTGCCTTTATTTTTTAATATTTCTCAATATGTAGAAGTGTATAATAATGATTCTCCAATTAATGAAATAAGTGCTGAAGTCCTAATTCTTAATGAAACAAATGTTAATATTCCAAATTCTAATAAGATCACTGAAATCTTAATTCAAAACAATAACAATCAAAAAAAAGAAAGTACAATAAATCATCAGTTTGGCAATATTTTAACATTAATAATTCAGATAATCCAGTTTGTAAGAAATGTAAAACTAAGTTTTTATCTGATAGTAGAACATTGACCTTAGAAAGGCACTTGAATATGCATGGAATAACTATATCTACACGAGAACAATCAAATAAAAATAAGTAAAAATAAAATTTATAATTAGTTTTTTTAAAAATTGGGTTAATTTATAGATTTTGTAACTAGACAAAGTAATAATTCTTATAATAAAGATGATTAACAAGAGCTTGATAATAGTGTTCTTTGTTGAATAATTTGTGATATGGAACCATTCAATAGTGTCAAAAGTGAAAAATAGTGATAAATGATTTTTAAATTTGATCCAATATATAGATTTTGTAATCGTCATACAATAAGTAGTCATATTACAATACTTTATCAAGAAAAAAAAGAAGAGATCAATGGCATTGGGTATTTGCTTGGGAGGGTGATACAATACTACTAAAACTGGAGTATCGAGAGAAGCAGTAGACATGTGAAAGGGCTGTGGTAAAGGATTTGCCTTATCTAAATTAGAAGCACCTCTGGTACTGTGAAACAACTAATTAAAGAAGATAATTTCATAGAGGCAGACTAGCTAATCTAATTATCTAAAGGCACCAAGTTGGAGCTCTGGTCATATCTATATAGAAGTTAATGACAAAGAAGCCAGAATACACCAATGATAATGCAATACCAACCAATAAATAAGAGTCCAAGTTGGAAGTTAATGTGAATTGAGGTACGTCTCCTAGTAATATGATGCAAGGCCTATAGCTAGAAGTAGGACCCAGGCTTGCTTTGATCTTACAAAATATGATTTTGGTAATACACATATAAGAAAGTACAAATGGATTAGTTGGTACCACTATACCAGAAAAAAATGTTAAGTTCTGGGGTGACAAACCAGCAGTGGTAGCAGGGCTTGGCTTGAGATATGGGTTAGTAGTATCTAGACAGATAAGTAGAAGGGTTCCTGCTAATTAGCATATCTAGCAATATAATACCAACTCTGTCATGTGATGAACCTAACTAGTTAGCAAGTTTTTGGCTTGAGATACAAGGCTGTAAAAAGGTCATCTGCACCAATTACGATTGTATGAATAGGATCCGTTAGGAGATTTGCAGTAGATCGTGTTTGCAGGTATACCAATTTGGAAGCTTATTAGAAGCGAATACCTGACATACCAACTTGGAAGTTATAACTGGTTATGTGAGATATTGGGGAATATGTAGTTACTAGAAATAGTTAGTTGGGAAGCACAAAGCTAGGTGATATATATGTGGGGCATGAACCACTCTAGTAAGTTTAGGTTGTAGATAAATTAGTCTAAATCTCTGTAGTTTGTAAAGTTAATGTATATGTATATGTAATTGTAATTGCCAAAGCTATATGTTAATAAAAACCAGAGGCATGACCTCATCTTAATATTAAAAAAAAAAAAAAAGAAGAGATCAAATTAATAAAATTCTGAGAAAGGTTGCTTTTATAGCTAATATGTAGACAGCATTAAATGGAACAGCTTTTCTTAGCCTAACCATACACTATATCAATGCATCTTAAACCTTATATAATTTTTTCCTTGACATAATTCTAATAACCATATATCACACTGGATCTAATATAGCCAATGCTATTATGTCAGTTCTTTATGAGTTTGATTTGGCCACAAAAACTCTTGTACTAACTACTGATAATACATCATCTATAATCTCGTATAGTACATTAATAACAGCAGAGCTAGAAAAAGATTTTAATAATTTGAATTTTGCTTATTATAGGTGTTTTGTGCATATGTTAAATTTAGTAGTTGTTAAGAGTATGGAACTAGTTAATATATCAATTGAAAAAATAAGGTCTTTAATGAGCTATCTCAAGTCATTTCAACCTGCAAATGAAGTCTTAAAACATTTATATAAAGCAAAGAATATCAAGTATTTAGCTCCTGAATTAGATATAAAGACAAGATAGAATTCTGTTTTTTATATGTTAGAAAAATAGAAAAAAACTAGAGTCCGTTTTAAAACTGCTTTTTGTTGATAACCAGGCTGTTGGTTAACGATACCCAACTGAAGAAGATTGTATCAAAATTAATAATACAATGCTTCTTTTAGAACTATTTGAATGAGCAACTCACCACTTTTAGCATGACGATATTCATTACATAGGGCTGTATGTTTTGTTTTTTTGCAATTAAAGAATATTTATTACAGTATTTAAATATAGAAGAATTTAAACACTCTATAATGGCAAGCATAATCTATTAGAAACTAAATAAATACTGGCCGATTATAGATGAAATATCACAAATATCATGTTTACTTGACCTGAGTATCAAATTATCTGTGTTTAGTAGTGAAACAGAAAAAAACTGGATTAAACAAATAATTTTAAATCTTTCAGAGTATATATTAAAGTTATCACAATTATCAATAAACACTGCATCAACCGATCTAATTGATGCATGAAATTATTTTCGATCATTATGAAGTAACAGTACATACACCTCCTCTATTTTCCCTGCTTCATCAAATTTACCCTCTATATCTACATCTACTTCTCATATTTCTTCTATTGCTTCTGCTTTTCTATTATTTTCCACATTTCTACCACTTCCCTTTCTTCTATTTCACCTATTTTTTCTGTTGCCTCTATTCCAACTAATTCTTCTATTTCTCCTGATTCTTCTACTACATTTACTTTTCTACCTCAGTTCTGCCTATTTTTTTAATATATCACTTACAAATAAACAATTGATAGTCTACAAAATAAGCTAGAAAGATATTTATTATTACCATTAGAAGACAATTCAAATCTGTTAGTATGGTGGCAAGCACAACCCGAATATCCTACTCTAAGCTTAATCGCAAGAGATTACTTGGCTATTCAAGCCACCAGTGTAGCTTCGGAACAAGCATTCTCCATAGCAGGTCTCACTATTTCAGCGACAAGAAATAGATTAGAAGACGA